TGACAGATCTAAAAATTTGGCCCGAAAAATAGGTTTTTTAGAAATTTGATCGCACAAAATTCGCACGTTCGGATGAGTATTACTCTGAAGCTGTGCATACTACATACTCAAAATACATACCAAATTACGCAGATTCGCGACTACAATAATCTTATAATAGATTTTTGGATATTCCTGTTTGCGTATTAAAACTAGAAGTAAAATTCAAAAAAACACTCAAAATCGAGCTTCAAAATGTCAGCATCATTTAAAGGTAGATGCAGTTAAAATTTTGAAAAATGATACATAAGGGGCGTAGTCCCCATTTTGTTGGCTTCTAGTTTTATTTTGACACAAAGACCGTGCAATGAGTGGCTTAGTCACAAATCGATAGAGAACATAAAAAAACTGGTTCGCCTCAACCTGTTTTTACACATTTGTTTACATTAAAGTAGACACAGCTTCCACCAAAATAAAGTTTGGAGGTCAATATCATGAACAGTTTGCAACGACAGATCAATTAACCCAAAACTATTCACTTTTGTTCATATATTGAAGTAGTTCCCGAGTTATAAAGGGGTGAACATCCGCTTCAGCTATGTTAAAAAATTGGCAATATTGCCCATATACATGTCAAAGGGCTTGAAGTAATATTTTTTAAAAATCTCAATTTATTTTAGGCGTCTACAACCTGGGAAAATGCATTTAAAAATTCTCAATTTGTTGTGGACTATGTAAATATTCTTAAATTTTTAAGATATCAACATATTGTAAAAATAATCCTTATAATTGTCCATAGAGAATATTTTAAAAATATCTAATTTTTTTTTAAAATTGAAAAATATTTTTAAAAAATATTTTTAAAAAATCCTAGAATTCACTGAAAAATATATTTATTTTATATTTAAGCTTGTATTTTATTTTAACATCCATTTTTTATTCTTTTATTTATTTTCAGATTTCTTAACATATTTCAAAATAGTGAAAAATGTGAAAACAACATACGCAAAAATAATTGCAAAAAATTTAAAAACGATCAAAATATTATATACAAAATTAAATTTATTAAACTATAATTGAAAAGTGAGCGGAAACTGTTATTAAAGAAAATATATATAAATAATAATAAAACAAAAATAAATCACTGAGTTTGAAACCAACAACAAAAATTTAATACAAAAAATCTATATTGAAAAATTCTTAAAAAATTTGTTAACAAATGTGAAACAATTCATTGTTTTTTTTATACACCAATTGAAAAGTGTGCTAAAATAACAACAACAACTACAACCAAACTAAAATTATTCAATTAAAACACAATACTGGTTACTATTACTTTTTTTTCGAATTGAATGGAAATAAATAAAAAAATAAAAGCAAAGAAAAAAAATAGCAACGTTTCATGTTCACAAACATTTTGCCGATAATTAATGAGTTTAATTAAATAATTAATGGAGAAATAAAAAAAATAGTAAAAAAATAAAAAAAACAACAACAGCAACATTCAAAAACAAACCATATATGCAAGAAGTTGCCAAGTTGTTGTTGGCAGTTTGTTTATTGTGCGGGTTAACGAATTAAAAACGATTTTGCCTATTTTTTGCGGTTACAATTTGAAATTTTCGAATACACCCCGCTAAGAGGTAATCAAACGTTTTATACCGTTGTTGCGAATTTGATAACAATAAATTAAACTACTGAATGGAAATACAATAAAACAAATATATACAAATAATAAACGAAATATTTCAAGTGAAAAAAATATATTTAAAATTAATTTTTTTAATTTAAAAACATTGAAAAAAATATTTGTAAGGAGAAATAAAGCATAGATTGAAATTTGAAAGCTGAGATTTAAAGAAAATTTTTTTGAAAGGTAAGTTTTTTTATTCATTAAATATTATTTAAAGTTATTGTAGTTGATGGAAATTAAAAAAAATCTTCTAAATTTTTTTAAAAAATCCATCTGAAAAATATTTTTTTAATTTTGATTTTTATTATTTTTATTTTTACTCCGCCCCAAAAAAATTCTATTTTTTGTATTTTGTATATTTTTTATACCCTTCACCACACTATGGTACAGGGTATTATGTCTTTGTGCATATGTTTGTAACAGGCAAAAGGAAACGAGATAGACCCATGGTTTGGAGAATATGCATAGAATCACTTTGTGAGTCGATTTATGCATGTCCGTCCGTGCGTCTGTATATATTAAATTGTAAAAAAATGTGCAGGTCGCATTTATGATTCGATTTGGATGAAATTTGGAACAAGTCACTTATTTGACCCAAGGACGAACCTTATTGAAATTGAAGAAAATCGGTTCAGATTTAGATATAGCTCCCATATATATTTTCGTTCGATTTTGAGTAAATGGTGCACCAAAGTCCGTAAATATCTTTCGATTTGCACGAAATTTGGCATAGGGTACTGAATTAGGTCCAAAATGATGTGTGCTAAGTTTCGTGGAAATCGGTTCAGATTTAGATATAGCTCCCATATATATTTTTGTCCGATTTAAGGTAAATAGTGCATAGCTCCCATATATACTTTCGATATTCGATTTCGATATCTTGCACAAAATTTGGCACAGCGTACTGAATTAAGCCTAGAATGATGTGTGCCAATTTTAATGGATATCGGTTCAGAATTTGATATAGCTCCCATATATATTTTCGTCCGATTTACGACAAATGGTGCACCAATGTCCCTATTTATCATTCGATTTGCACGAAATTTTGCACAACATACTTAATTAAGTCTAGAATGAAATGTGCAAAGTTTCGTGAAAATCGGTTCAGATTTAGATATAGCTCCCATATATATTTTTGTCCGATTTAAGGTAAATAGTGCACCAAAGTCCCTATATATCCTTCGATTTGCACGAAATTTGGCACAGCGTAATAAATTAAGTCTAGAATGATGAGTGGTAAGTTTCATGGAAATCGGTTCAGATTTACATATAGCTCCCATATGTATGTTCGTCCGATTTAATGTAAATGATGCATTAAAGTCCCTATATATCTTTCGATTTGCACGAAATTTTGCATAGCGTATTGAATTAAGAGTAGAATGATGTGTGCTAAGTTTCGTGGAAATCGGTTCAGTTTTGGATATAGCTCCCATATATTTTTTCGTCCGATTTTATGTAAATGGGGCACCAAAATCCCTATATATCCTTCGATTTGCACGAAATTTGGCACAGCGTAATGAATTAGGTCTAGAATGATGTGTGGTAAGTTTCCTGAAAATCGGTTCAGATTTAAATATAGCTCCCATATATATTTTCGTCCGATTTAATGTAAATTGATTGACACAACGTACTGAAATTAGTATTCCTTTGAAAAGGCGACGTCTGTTAGTTTACATATGATGAATGTACCCACCGTGGTGAAGGGTATCATATAGTTGGCCCAGTCCGACTTTACTACTTTTCTTACTGGTTTTTATTTTTACACCACCTCTAAAAAAATTTCAAATATTTTTGTATATTTTTTTCTTTTTTATACCCTACACAACTATGTTGTCAGGGTATTTTAGCCTTGTGTAGCCCCAAAAGTTAGTAACGCCGCGAAATATTGGTCGTAGACCCACCTTTATGTATACTGATCGTCATATCTCGACTAGCTGAGTCGATCTAGACATGTGTGTCCGTCCGTCCGTCTGTCCATTATAAGTTGTAAACACGATACAGGCCACAGTTATGGTCCAATCTTCACGAAATTCTGCATGTAGGATGGATTCTGGCTAATGAAGACCCCTATTGTTTTTGGGAAAGATCAGTTAATATTTAGGGGATGAAATGGACCAAATACTAAATTTTTGTCGGGTTTTCTGCTCGCTCCAGAGGCCGCAATTATGACCCGAACTTGGCGAATTTTCACATGGAGAAGGGGGTGGGGCCAAAGAATAAGCATGCCTGTTTTTATAAAGATCGGTTAATATTTAGCGGGTCAAATGGACCCTGACTTTTGTGTGAAAAATTACAAAATTTGTATTCTATGGCGAATATATTTACCCCTAAAGGACATAGACTCGAGAAGTTGATAGTATATCCAAGAGGAGTGGTTGACCATTAAATTGATACCAATTATATTGTCGTATATATTCGGATGTGAGAGTTACACTTAAATATTTACCCATTACCACACTAGAGGGCGGAAATATAGCGCTAATCGCTTTGAAATTTTCCATGAGATTTCAATTGTGGTCGAGGACAATGCCTATAATTTCGCTGATGATCAGGTAATAATTTTGGGATGAAGTGGACCGAAAACTTATTTTTTTGTGTTTTTTCGAGTAGATCTATTGGCCACAATTGAATACCGAACATCACAACACAACCCAGGATGAAGAGAATGTGCACAAGTAATTAGAAGGGCTGCACTGAATATAAGTAATATTTGTTGACCTCTAGTCAATCAAGAGCTACAAATATCGTGAAGTATTGCTCAAGCTCAGAATATAGAACCACAGAAAGTTTTATTTTCGTGGAAGTTGTGTAGGGTATCATATGGTCGGCTCCGTCCGACTATACTGCTCCGCTCACTGGTTTCTTGTTATTTTTTGTTTTATAAAAAAATCACTTCTCAAATATTTATTACAAAATCCCACAGCTAAACTACCACTCTGTAATAATCTGAAAAAAACCCCGAAAATTCCTTTCATCTTCTTCAACTTCATTATGAGGAGTGGGAGGGAGGGAGGAATGGAAAACATTCCATTTGATGAAGACAAAATAATAATCTCTGGCCCATTAAAATCATCACTTCTCAACAGAAAAAAAAATCTGGCTGTCGACATATATATTCATATCCTCACACTCCCCGGTGTCTATCGTCCAACTCTTGTTGTTGTTGGAACCATTAAAAAATATGGTGATATATTTTTATATTTTATTTATGGTGGATGGATGGATTGGAGGGTAGGATGGTTGGATGAGGGAAATTCCTTATCAATTAAAACATTATAAATGTTTTCTCCTCTTCTTCTTATTTTGGGTGAATTGTTTTTTGAAACATATGTTATGGGTTCATCATCACCAGCATCATCATCATTATCCTCCATTCGAAAATGAAGATGATGGCGACGACGACGTTGAGTATCATGTTCATGTCCATGATGATGATGATGATGGATCAATTGAGTATCATTTCAGCTATTTGAAATGTTTGTCTGTCTGTTCGGCGTGGGAGGGTGATTTTTGTTGTTGTTGTCTGGTTTATATTGTTGTGTATTAAGTTGTTGTAGTTGTTGTTATTGAAACAATCCAACGAAAGGGGTGTATGTAGATAATCGGCCTATACTTCTCTGTTTTATCTCTCTATTTAAGCCCATCAGAATGTAAGTGTTTTGTAATCCCAAAAAAAAAAAAACACAACAAAAACAACAACAACACACAATTTGAAAGTGTTGAGAGAAATTTTTATTGCAATAATCTCTAGCGAACATATTAATTTTTGGTGAGGGGATTTGGGATGAGATTTGTTTTTTAATAGAGGAATTCCGAATATTTTGGGGGGAAATTAAAAATCTAATGATTTTCAGAGACTTTGGTGCACCAATTACCTAAAATCGGATGAACATATATATGGGAGCTATATCTAAATCTGAATCGATTTTCACGAAACTTAGCACACATCATTCTAGACTTAATTCAGTACGCTATGCCAAAATTCGTGCAAATAAAACAGATTTCCAGGGACTTTGGTGCACCATTTACCTAAAATCGGGCGAAACAATATATGGGAACTATATCTAAATCTGAACCGATTTTCATGAAACATGGCAAAAATTATTATAGACGTAATTCAGTACGCTATGCAAAATTTCGTGCAAATCGAAAAATCGTTGGTGCACCAATTACCTAAAATCGGGCGAAACTATACATGGGAGCTATATCTAAATCTAAACCGATTTTCACGAAACTTCACACATCATTCTAGACTTAATTCAGTACGACATGTCAAAATTCGTGCAAAAGACTTTGGTACATCATTTACCTTAAATCGGACGAAAATGTATATAGGGGGTATATCTAAATCTGAACCGATTTTTCCCAATTTCAATAGGGTTCGTCCTTGGGCTAAACAAATGATCAGTGCCAAATGTCATCCAATTCGGATCATAAATGCGGCCTGTACTTTGTTTACAATTTAACATGGACAGACAGACGGACGGACGGACATGCATACATCGACTCAGAAAGTAATTATATGCATATTCTCAAAAGGAACCATGGGTCTACCTCGATTATTTTTACCTGGTACAAGCATATGCACAATGACATAATACCCTGTACCATAGTGTGGTAAAGGGTATAAATATTTATTAAAAAACATTTTAGTCGGCAAAATTTAAAATAATTAGTCCTATAAATATTGAATATGAACCTTTGTATATAAAAAAAAAACAGTGAGCGAAGCTGAATAGTCGGGCGGGCCGACCATACAATACCCTACACAACTACCACGAAACTCTTACTTTCTGCTGATTTTTATTCCGAGCCTGGGCAATATTTCGCGATAGCTGCACCTCTTGCCCGATTAGAGGTCAACAGCACCTCTTTCTTACATTGACATATACTCCGATTATTACTAAAGTTCAGTACAGTCCTTCTAATTACTTGTCCATATTCCATTCACCGTCCTTTGTATAGATCGACTCGAAAAAAGTGCAAAAAATTAAGTTTTCGGTCCAGTTCATCCCAATATTACTATCTGATCATCACCACAAAATTATAGGCGTTGTGCTTGACCATAACTGAAACCTCTTGGAAAATTTTAAAGCCATCAGCGCTATATTTCCGCCCTCTAGTGTGGTAATGAGTACATACGACAATATAATTGGTATCAATTTAAAGGCCAACCACTCCTCTTGGATATTCTATCAACTTCTCGAATCTATGTCCTTCAGGGGGTGAATATTTTCGCCATAGAATACAAATTTTGTCATTTTTCACACAAAAGTTAGGGTCCATTTGTCCTGCGAAATGCTGAACATATATCATTTTATATATTTTTATGTTTTATTTTATTATTTTAAATTTTAATTAATTTATTATCATTTTGTATTTTGTGTATGCCAACCTTAATGTTTTTTTGTTAATTTTAATAATCGGCCCACCCTAACGTTTTTGCATTCTTTTTGTCGCCCATTTTTGTCGTTCGTCTTGTTAGGAAAGCAACAACAACAATATTCAAATATTGTTTGAATATTTGCTTGTTACTGCTTTCCTATTTCTTCGTCGTAACAAAACAACAACAATGCAGTGATCAGTCGTTGACTGCATTGTTGACAGTTTTATATGTATGTATGTAACATACTTATTAATAACTGTCGTTTGTTTTGTTTTGATCGCTTATTATTTTTGTTTCAATTCCGTTTTGTTTCTTTTGTTTTGTCTGTTGCCCTACAAGAAGGGAATGTAATTATGTTTTTTTGGTTGACATTTATCCGGCATACACACAACACAATAAATTTGTAAATCCTTTTTAAAATTAAAATAAAAAGTGTTTTCTTCGGGGAAACAAATAATAAATCTTTCTGCGCAACATTTTGGCGACCGTGACAGGACGGTTGTTGTTAAATTAAAGTAAATTAATTATTAAAATAATTAATTGAACAATTAAATAAAGTGATTCTTTGTTTCAAAGTGGTAGTTGTTTTGTTGTTGCTCAACACCTTGCTGTTGCAACATAAATACATATTTGACGCTTTATTTATTTATCGTCGATTGATTTAATTACAATCGTGAACATTTTTAAAACATTGAAAAGAATTATTGTAATAAATTCTTTAGTGGAAAGAAATTTGTGACCCAAAGAAAAATTATATTACGCAATCGTGGTAATATACATAGACTAGCGTTTGTGGAAATATTGGAAAATATATTAGTGATTGTTGCTCAAGTACATAAAGACACCATCTTGAGTAAAATTTTAAAATTAATTTGGCGCATTTCTTTGTAAATAGAAGCCAAATTCTCTTGTGGATTTTCGTGTTATAAATTGCTCTTAGTTTCTCAAAATGCCAAAAGACAGTGATGTTGAAATGATTGAAGAGAATGCTAGTGGTTCGGGTATGGCTTCTCTTAAGCAGCAACGTAGCTCTATAAAAAAGAACATTTCAAATATTCAAAAGAAAATTGAGAAAGAGGGCTCGAAAATGGATTCGACCATTTTAGAATGCCGACTTGAAATTTTGGAATCCTATTTTAAACAATTATGCCAAGTGCAAAGCCAAATTGAATCAATAAATCCAAACGATAATTCAAGAATGGAACTAGAAGAAGCATTTATTGTGGCAAAGGCAAAAATAATGAAATTATTAAATAAAAATCGTGGCTTTGTGTCAGTTGATAATAGTTTAATGAATGCTTCTATGGCTTGTGGTTCTAGTTCTCGATTGCCCTCACTAAAGTTGCCCAAATTCGATGGAAAATACAGTGAATACAAAAGATTCATTACAGCATTTAACAACATGGTGCATGAAAATCCATCAATAAATATTATTGAGAAATTTAATTATTTGTTGAACTGTCTCTCTGGTGCAGCATTAGCCGTTGTGGAACCATATCAAATCTGTGAAGAAAATTATGAAAAGGCATTAGACAGACTGCAAGAACGATATGACAACAAAGTCTTAATATTTCTGGAACATATCGAGTCCTTGTTTAACGTTCCAAAAATGCAAAAAAGTGACAGTGTCTCATTGCGTCATCTTATTGATACAGTTTCTGCAGTTCGTGGCTCATTGTTGTCGCTCGGTACAGAAGCAGATGTAATGAATGCAATTTTGGTTCATATGGTTTTATCAAAAGTAGACGGTGATACAAAAGAGAATTATGATGAGAAACAAGACTTTAAATCGTTGCCCTCTTGGGATTTGTGTTATGAACTTTTAAGTCGTCGTTGCCAATTTCTCGAAAGCCATCGAAAAAGAACTGAAGTGTCTGACAGAGTTGTTGCTCAAAAACCCAAACAAAATCCTAAATTCAATCGGTCTGCTCATACTTTCGTCAACTCAAATTCGATTTGTTCGTATTGTAGCTCAAGTGAACATAACATTTCAAATTGTTCGTCATTCGCAAATATCGTCGTTTCGGAACGTTTTAATTTCGTAAAACGTAGTGGACATTGTATTAACTGCCTTAGAAAAGGTCATATGGTATCGAAGTGTCCCTCAAAATCTCGATGCAGAGTTTGTGATTCTGCACATCACACGCTGCTTCATATATTTAGTAGCCCAGAACAACCAAGTACCTCAACATCGAACATTAATTCGTCGCAGATATCAACCAGCTCAAATCCAGTTTCTCTCGTTGCTCGTTCATTTAAAAGAGCGATAATTCCGACTGCTGTAATTCTGATGAAGGACAACTGTGGCTCATTTCAAACGGTAAGAGCATTGCTCGATTCATGTTCTGAACTAAATTTTATTTCTGAGGAAACCGCTAAGAGGCTGAAACTAAAATTTAGACCGTTTTCTCAAGAAATCTCTGGAATTGGAGAAGTTCGAACAGCAATAAAGTTTTCTGTAGAAACTACAATAAAATCGAGAAGTAGCTCATTTGAATGGTCCTCATGTTTTGCTGTTACCAAAAGTATTTCGTCTCGTCAACCTGGTGAATTGATGAACACATCACAATGGAAGATTCCCCAAAACATAGAATTAGCAGATCCGCTTTTCTACAAGCCACAACGTATCGACGTTCTTCTTAGTGCTGAAGTATTTTTTGATTTGCTGTTAGATGGTAGAATTTCATTGGGAAATGGATTGCCGTGTCTCACGAATACAGTTTTTGGTTGGATAGTTGGAGGTTCGTCGCCCAGTCGTCCAAACTCAACTTCATTAACATGTAACTTAACCGTAAGTACACATGAAGAAAAAATTGATGAAATATTGAAACGTTTTTGGGAAGTTGAGGAGTATTCCAAGTCACCCAACCCATATACAGAAGAAGAACAAGCATGTGAAGATCATTTTGTCAAAAATAGTGGTTTTGACTCTGAGGGAAGAGTACAAGTTCGACTTCCATTTAAGAAATCTCCTAAATGTCTTGGTAACTCATTTGAAATGGCTCGTAGACGTTTTTTATCGCTGGAAAGACGACTTGAACGTGACTCTACTTTGAAATCGATGTATGTAGAATTTATGGAAGAATATGTGTCTCTTGGCCATATGTCACCCTACACCCAATCGTTGAATGATTCGCACTATATTATACCTCATCATTGTGTTCTCAAGCCCCAAAGTGCTACTACAAAAATTCGTGTCGTATTTGATGCATCAGCTCGTAGCTCGTCGAATCATTCCTTGAATGATATATTGATGGTCGGTCCAACAATTCAGCAGGATCTGATCACCACACTTTTCTCGTTTCGATTGCACAAATACGCTCTCACTGCAGATATTTCAAAAATGTATCGGCAGTTTCGCATAGATGAAAGAGATAGAAGATATCAACTCGTATTGTGGAGAAGTAACAAAAATGATGAACTCAAGGTATTCAAATTGAACACAGTAACTTATGGCTTATCGGCCGCCCCATTTTTGGCAATTCGTAGTTTGTTTCTCATTGCAGATAAATACAAAGATTCTTATCCCCATGGTTCGGAGGTCTTACGACAAGATCTTTACGTCGATGACGTACTTACAGGCGCCGATAGCATTGAGACTCTGGCTCTTAAAAGAGACGAGTTGATCCAAATATTGAAATGGCATGGTATAGAATTGGCAAAGTGGAATAGCAACCATGCGTCGCTCACTTCGAATGATGTTGAAGAAATCATCATAAAAACATCGGATAACGACATAACTAAAACATTAGGTATGTCCTGGAAACCTCAGCAAGATGTTTTCCTTTATAGATTCGAGTTGCCCGATGTCACAAATCCAACTAAAAGATCAATTTTGTCGATCGTATCCAAAATCTACGATTTGCTTGGAATTTTGAGCCCAATCGTTATTCGTTGCAAAATTCTTCTTCAAGAATTATGGGTTCAAAATATTGGATGGGATGATCCTCTAAACGATCATCTCAAGGCTTTGTGGCTCCAAATCAAAGAAGATTTATCGTACATCCATCAAGTAGAAGTCCCAAGATATGTACTTACGTTGTCCAATCGACATGGCGAAATACATGGTTTCGCAGATGCTTCTCAACGTGCATATGGTTGTTGTATTTATTATCGTGTCTCAGAAAATGGTATGTACAAAACCACATTACTGATTGCAAAATCAAAAGTAGCTCCTATCAAAGCCCAATCTCTACCTCGTCTCGAATTGTGTGCTGCAGTGTTACTCAGTAAAACGTGGCTCAAAATCAAGTCTAAAATTGAAAATTTCGTCTCATCGTTGTACTTTTGGACTGATTCGAAAATAGTACTACAATGGCTCAAAATGCATTCGTCAACTTTGAATTGTTTCGTGGCAAATCGTGTCTCTGAACTCCAAGAAGAAACTCGAAACATCATTTGGAGACATGTCCCAACGAAAAGTAACCCAGCTGATATCGTATCTCGTGGTTGTTGTGCTCAAGAATTGTCGAATACCATCTGGTTTCGTGGCCCATCGTTTCTCGAAGAAGATGTCTCAAATTGGCCAGGTACTGAAGACGAGATGACAATTGAAGTCCCAGAACGCAGAAAAGCCGCTGTCTTTAAAAACACAGCCTGTGAAAACAATGTCATTAATGACATTCTGGATAAGCAATCTTCATATTACAAATTTATTCGAATAATCGCTTATGTTTTTCGTATTTTCAACAGGTGTCCCATAAGTCGTTCTTTGAAAGTCAAAGATGTTGTCCACATAGCTCCTAAGGAACTTGAAGACACCTTTTGGAAGGTCATCTCACTGGTCCAGCGGTCATGTTACTCATCGGACATACAAGCAATCGAAAGTGGAACCGTAGCTCATCCATCTCTGCAAAAATTAACACCATTTTTGCACAAAATGAAAGTGGGAAATGAGGAGATTAATATTCTTCGAGTTGGCGGACGTTTAACAAATGCTCCGATTCCATATGATGCAAGATTTCCTGCCCTGTTGCCCAAAGACCATCGATTCGTCAAGCTGTTTGTAGAGCATTTGCATCGAATTCATTTGCACGCCGGTCCAAAGGTGTTGTTGGGCATTTTACGCCAGAAAATCTGGATAATCAATGCCAGAGAAGTAGTTCGGAAGATTGTTCGAAATTGCGTGCATTGTTTTCACTATAAACCAAAATTGTTGGGGCAAATAATGGGAAATTTGCCAGTTGATCGTCTTCGAGCTCAACGTCCATTCTTGGTAACTGGAGTTGACTTTTGTGGCCCTTTCATGACGTCATACAGGATTCGAGGGAAGTCACCCTACAAAACCTACATCGCAGTTTTCGTTTGCTTCAGTTCCAAAGCTACCCATTTAGAACTCGTATCGGATTTGTCAGCAAACAACTTTATATTGTGTCTCAAACGATTCGTGGGAAGACGTGGAATTCCCCAGAAGCTTTTTTGTGACAACGCAACTAATTTCGTAGGAGCCTGTAACAAACTAAAAGAGCTCAAAGAATCATTTTTCAATGATGAAGTTGTCCAAAAAATGAAATCGATTTGTTGCCAAATGGGTCTAGAATTCAATTTCATACCCCCGCGCGCCCCACACTTCGGTGGATTGTGGGAGGCAGCGGTAAAATCCACAAAAACGTTGCTCAACAAGAACATAACGGAGTCGTACCTTACTTTCGAAGAGTTGCAGACACTGGTAATCGAAATAGAAGCAATATTGAACTCTCGTCCAATTGCTCCCATGTCAGACGATCCCAACGACGGCGAGGCGTTGACACCAGGTCATCTCCTTATTGGTTCATCTCTGGTGGCAATACCTGAGCAACATCTTGATGTTACCAAACCCTCGTTGCTAAATAGATGGCAACGTATTTCGTACCTGAAACAACAGTTTTGGCAAATGTGGTCCAGGGATTACCTTCTGTCTCTCCAGCAAAGGTCAAAGTGGTTCACCGATGAGAAGAATGTCAATGAAGGACAATTGGTCATCATACACGAGGACAACACACCCCCTCAGCAGTGGCTCTTGGCGAGAATTACAAAAACAATACCAGGTCGTGATGGAAAGGTCCGAGTGGTCGAATTGAAAACTAAAAATGGAATATCGTGTCGCCCGATCCATAAAATAGCCCCTTTACCAAGCCCAGAAGATGTTTGAAATTTTGGCATTTCAACGGGGGGAGGATGTTGGAGGAGATCATTTTATATATTTTTATGTTTTATTTTATTATTTTAAATTTTAATTAATTTATTATCATTTTGTATTTTTTGTCGGCCCACCTTAATGTTTTTTGTTAATTTTAATAATCGGCCCACCCTAATGTTTTTGCATTCTTTTTTGTCGCCCTTTTTGTCGTTCGTCTTGTTAGGAAAGCAACAACAACAATATTCAAATATTGTTTGAATATTTGCTTGTTACTGCTTTCCTATTTCTTCGTCGTCAAAACAACAACAATGCAGTGATCTGTCGTTGACTGCATTGTTGACAGTTTTATATGTATGTAACATACATATTAATAACTGTCCTTTGTTTTGTTTTGATCGTCAATTTGTTTTATGTTTCAATTTCGTTTTGTTCCATTTGTTTTGTATGTGGCCCTACAAGAAGGGAATGCAATTATGTTTTTTAGTTGACATTTAGCCGGCATACCATACAAGACAATAAAATTTGTAAATCCTTTTTAAAATTAAAATAAAAAGTGTTTTCTTCGGGGAAACAAATAATAAATCTTTCTGCGCAACAAGTCTTTGGCCTGGTCAATAACAGCTTCCAAATATTGCAAACTCTGCTCACCATCCACCAAACTCTTAGGGATTTCTTGTCTCTCATTTATTCTCCGCTTTACAGAGGTCTCAATCTGCTTTAAAATAATTTCCATGGGGTTTAAATGCCTCGAATATGGAGGCAAGAACAACAATTCAACGCCAGAGTCCCTGATAAACTTATCTAATTCACTGTCATACGGAAAATGCTGAGAGACTAGAACCAGCTCCCTTACTTCTGTCCTCATTTCTTTGAAATTGACAATAAAACTTTCCAACCACTCTTTGGTTTCCTCAACACCATAGGATCCGCGGCGATGTTCGAATTGAAAAATGCCATGCCTCGAAATAGCAACCTTCAAGTGAATACTTGGTAGTGGCGCCTTGATTCCATTCGGAGAACGTCTGTTTTTCCTTCTGAAAAATAAATTGAAATTGACTTCGCCCACATAAACAATTTCCTTGCCTTGGGCCACATATCCTCTCAGGGTCTGCAGATATTCCTCACGCTCAAATTTGCTCACCAATGAATTCATTGCTTCAGAATTATAATTTCCAAACTGCTTACAATACACCTTACCCTGCAATGAGTTGGCAATGGTCGATTGGGCTATTATTTTGGCAAATTCTTTGGTAATCCTTTCCCTAATTCTCTTCAGGGTCAGCATAGGATCCGCCTCAATCCATCGTAAAATTTCTGATATTTCTTCTTGATTTAGAAGTTTGGGTTTCTGACCTCCACGAGATTTTATTAGGATTTTACTTTCCATTATCCAGCTATAGGCTGTCTTATAGGGTACCTCTAAGGCCATGGCCATTTTGGACCAATCCGAACCTTTCATGGCGCATTCTATAATAAGTTTGCGATTTTCTGTCGTGTGTTTGCGATATTTCATACGCTGGACTCGTTGGGTTTCTGGAAGGGAGGAGGGTATATAACATCCTTCAATTTGAAATAAAATTCTGGACTTACCTATTATACTACCTCGACATAGTGGGCATGGATCTCCATGCCGTAGACTTGTCAGACACTTGAGATGAAACAAATGCCGACAGGGTTGAATCCGTAAAACAACTCCCCGGGACATTTTGATGAAACAGATGGCACAGGATTCTTTAAGTTCCATTTTTTTTAAGGGGAAGGGGGTCTTTTTCAATACCAATTTTTTATGATCTGAAAAAATAGGTAAAAAACACTCACATCAGGATTTTTTTTAAATTTTTGATTTTTTTTTTTTTGAATTTCTATTTTTTTTTTTTTTTTGAAAACTTGCCTTTGGTTGGCCTCTTTTAATACCCAGGCGTCAATTTTTTCGGTCAGGAAAATTGGCGAAAAATATTCACTTCAGGATATCAAAAATTCGGGGTAGATCGGGGAATCCTTGGAAATTTTTATAACTTTTGATTTTTTCTAATTTTTATTATTTTAACTTAATTTTGAATTTCTATTTTTTTTTTTTTGAAAACTTGCCATTGATAGCCTCTTTCAATACCCAGATGTCAATTTTTCGGATCAGGAAAAATAGGAAAATATAATCACATCAGGATATCCAAAATTCGGGGTAGTTCGCGGAATCCTTGGAGATTTTTTTATTTTTTAATTTTAAATTTTTTGAAAACTTGATTTTGATGGCCTCTTTCAAGAGCCAGATGTCAATTTTTTTGGATCAGAAAAAAATCGGAAAAAAATTTCTCACTTCAGGATATAAAAAATTCGTGGTAGCTCAGAGAATCCTTGGAGATTTTCTTATTTTTTCATATTTTTATTTTTTTTAATTTAAAATTTTTTTGAAAACTTGCTTTTAATAGCCTCTTTTAATACCCTATGTCAGTTGTTTTGGGTCAGGAAAAATAGGAAAATATAATCACATCAGGATATCAAAAATTCGGGTTGGTTCGGTGAATCCTTGGAGATTTTTTTTATTTTTTCCTATTTTTAATTTAACATTTTTTGAAAATTTGCCTTTGATGGCCTCTTTCAAGAGCCAGATGTCAATTTTTTGGATCAGAAAAAAAAATCGGAAAAATCGGAATCCTTGGAGATTTTTTTTTTATTTTTTCCTATTTTTATTTTTTTTTCTAATTTAACATTTTTTGAAAACTTGCTTTTAATAGCCTCTTTTAATACCCGATGTCAGTTGTTTTGGGTCAGGAAAAATGGGGAAAAATACTCACTTCAGGATATCAAAAATTCGTGGTAGTTCGGGGAATCCTTGGAGATTTTTTTATAACTTTTTATTTTTTTTTTTAATTTTAATTTTTTTGAAAATTTGCCTTTGATGGCCTCTTTCAAGAGCCAGATGTCAATTTTTTGGATCAGAAAAAAATCGGAAAAAATTACTTACTTCAGGATAAAAAAAATTCGTGGTAGTTCAGGGAATCCTCGGAGATTTTTTATAACTTTTTTTATTTTTTTTTTAATTTTTTGAAAACTTGTCTTTGATTGCCTTTTTCAATTTTTGGATCAGGAAAAATAGGAAAAAATACCCACTTCAGGATATCAAAAATTCGTCGTAGTTCAGCGTATCCTTGGAGATTTTTTTTTTCCTATTTTTATTTTTTTAATTTAAAAATTTTTGATAACTTGCTTTTAATAGCCTCTTTTAATACCCGATGTCAGTTTTTTTGGGTCAGGAAAAATGGAGAAAAATACTCACTTCAGGATGTCAAAAATTCGTGGTAGTTCAGGGAAATCCTTGGAGATTTTTTTATTTTTTTTTTTTAATTTAAAATTTTTTGAAAATTTGCCTTTGATTTTTGGATCAGAAATAATAGGAAAAAAGTACTCTCTTCAGGATATCAAATCCTTGGAGATTTTTTATAATTTTTTATATTTTTTTTAATTTTATTTTTTTTAATTTTTGAAAACTTGGCCTTTTTCAATACCCAAATGTAAATTTTTGGATCAGGAAAAATAAGAAAAAATACTCAATTCAGAATATCAAAAATTCGTTGTTGTTCAGCGTATCCTTGGAGATTTTTTTATATCTTTCTATTATTTAAAATTTTTATTTTTTTTTAATTTTTTGATGGCTTTTATGGCCTTTTTCAATATCCAGATGTCATTTTTTTTGGATCAGGAAAAAATCGAAAAATACTGACTTCAGGATATCAAAAATTGGTTGTAAAATCTCCATGGAGATTTTTATAATTTTTTATTTTTTTTAATTTCAAATTTTTTAAAGCTTGCCTTTGATGACCTCTTTCAATAGCCAGATGTAAATTTTTTTTTGGATCAGAAATAGGAAAAAATACTCACTTCAGGATATCAAAAAATTGCGATAGTTCAGGGAATCCTTGGAGATTTTTTATAACTTTTTATTATTTAAAATTTTTATTTTTTTATCTATTTTTTTGTTTTTTTTTTTATTTTTGAAAACTTGCCTTTGATGTATCCAGGCTTCCTCTGGGGTCATTTTATAGGCTCCACGGGATGCTGATCTTTTCAAAAATCTATTTTTTTGTTCTTCATTATCGTAAAGGTCTTTACCACCATCAACCACCCACCCACAAGAGCCGATATTGTCGAACTTGAATATACAATTTTACCTCGCTTGAATTATTTCCGTCTATTTTTTTCTTCATCGCCGCTTTCCTACAACATATTTAAGTCAAGGTAGATTTTTTTTGTAATCCATAATGTTTTGTAATAAGAGCTAGAGATAAAAAATAGTAACAACAACAACAAGAATTCAAAACTCAAACCACCAGCTGAGAAAATATTGAAAACAAGAATCCAATTACAACAGCACAAGAATCAAACAAACAAAAAATCGGTATATGCTGAAAATGCAGAAATATGAAGTAGAGGGAGAGAGGGGGCAAAGAAACTGAAAACAAAACACAACGCTCGGTAATAAACGCCAACAATTAAACACCTGCCTCAAGAAATAATTGATAAAAATAAAAAAATATATATTTTTTTTCAATCACAACAAGGTCTTAGAGCCATTTATTAAACTGGCTACCATAATGGCCAATTATGGGAAGGATTAGAGTCAGGTGTTTAGGTGGCCCAGAAAAAAATATTACAAATAAAATAAAACCCAGAGGACAGGTTAATAAAAGCCAGAGTTCAAACGACTTCCAACAAGGCTGGACGGGCATCATCGATTATTTTTAGAAAAAAAAAAAAAATAATAAAACCCAGAGGACAGGTTACGAACTTGATGAATCAGATTTCGAACGAGGCTGGAATATTGCCTTCCAAACATGGTTAACTTTTAAAATAAGCCTTTAACTTACATACTTAGCTGGCTTGTGACAGAACTTTCGTTCCATAAGCCGAGCTTAGAAAAGATTTCCAGGCGCGTCAATCTTTTGCGCAGTTTTTTTTTCCAATTTGAAAGACCATTTTCGGCCTTGGCCTTCCCCTTCTGCGTGAACCATCAGCTG